GGCAATTTGAGTTAAATTGGATTACAAACAATACAATTTAGTTGGTTAAACTGGTTGCCGTAGTTTTAGGGGCCAAAAAAGCAATACAAAACGAGTTTGTTTTAATTGTATAGTATTTTAAAAATATTCTATTCCTTAAAAAATAAAAAGAAGTAATGGTTTTGAATATAGAGGTAAGGGAAAGATTCCAAAATTTGTGTAAAAACTAGTTCGACTTTCTTTTAAAGGCAGAAAGCATTGCGAGCCGGGAATTTCACTGTCGAGCGCACTTACTTAGTTTTAGTTAGTATATACTTGTTTTTAGTTAGTGTATATATTATTTTTATTTTTATCAATTGTATTATATTAGATTTTACAATACGCATACGTTTATTTAGATATGTTGTATTTAAAATAAATACTTAATAATAAAGTATATAATGAATTTAAATCATTCCAACTATTATAGGCAATACTATTTTAAGTTATCCAAGCCCGTTAATATAATATATAATATATATATAAATGAAAATTCCACTGAACTGAACTTTCGAGCAAAGGACTTCTTCTTTCACCAAATTTGTTCGTATAATTAAAAATTTAAATAAGGAGTTTGGTTTTCTCACCTTTAAATTAATTTCGAAAATTGAAATCTGTTGATTGAAATGTTTACAATTTCGATCATAGTCCCCAAGACCAAGTCCAAATCCTCCCACTCGCAAGAATCATCCCAATGTTCGCTGATGAGAACGCGTTGTGGATGGATGGACGGATGGATGGATGCACATCATTATGACGAGAGATGAGAGATGAGAGGTGCACGGGCTTTGTTGGTGCTTCTGTTGTTTTCTTGTTTTTCTGTTTTTGCTTTTTTGGGGGAATCTCCGAGCCCCAGCACGCTGCAACCTTGAGACGAAATGTAACTGAAAGCAGCCAACTAACTGGCAAATAATTAGGAAGCCCCTCGCCACGCCCAACTAAAATAAACTATGCAAATAATTAATGGAGGCCCAGAGCACGGGACGGAAAAATAATGTACCATATAATAGGGACATGTGGCGCCTTTGCTTTGGAGCCAAGCGGAAGTCACCGTCAGCACCCCAGTTTGGCGCCAAGGTGTTGTTCATTGGGCTGCTGGACATTCGCCCTGCCCCTCACACCCACACCCACCCACCCAGTGCCACCTCCTGTCCGGCCTTGGCCCCTCATTTGATGTTTGACAATTTATTTTGATGGCACACAACACGCACCGAATACGCCGCTCCTGCTCCTGCTTCTGCTCCTGCTCCTGCTCCTGCTGATGTTGAAGTTCTCCTTGGATTGCCTAACGACACCCAGACATCAACATCAACGTCAGCAGTGGGCTGTGGGCTGTGGGTGGATGGAAAATGTGGGAAAGGAATGGGGGGGAAGAGCAAAGCAAACGGCATTGATTAATTTCCATTTCGTCCACATCGAACAATAAAAGCAAGGTCAACGACTATACCTGCAGAGAGAGAAAATCTATATCGGAAAAGTTAGTCATAGAGTTAAATGGAAATTTAAAAAAGTGATTAGTACTTTTTATATAAGCATATAAGCTTTCAATAGCCTTCTATTTCTACTAGCACTTTTCTTAATATGGTGTATTTCTTGGACACATATTTGTTATATTTAGGGAGATAATAATATAAAGGTTTTGCTATTTAAAGCAGAAACTTTTCAAATATATTTGATTTAAATTTAATACAAATACCACAAATAATTAAAATATATATCCAATAAAGCTTAAATTTAGTATATAAGCCAACCAAGTACTCTTTTTTGTCAGTGTACGCTTTGGAACACAAAGAGCGTCAATCTATAGTGGAAAATTGTTGATAGGATAATGTGGCATTAAAACATTAAGGCCTGACACCCAACGAGTCCACGGCCCATTGTCTGCGGCTCTCTGGTTTCGAATAGTGTTGGGTGGTTGGGTGGTTGCACCGTGTTGTAGTGGGTGCTAGTGGTGTTCCATCCGGTGGAATGTGGGTGCCACAGAAGGTTGAAACTGTCAGTTTGTTTGACTCTTTAGAACTTAATGGACGCAAAATTTTGTGGGATAGTGCAGACATATAGTTATGGTGTGTGGAGCATTGTTACCTGTAAATCTGAACTCTCTAGCTGGAAATACAAATGAATTTCTTTTCCAAAAACATTTTATTCGAAACTATAAGCAAGATCAACCGAATCATTTATATTTTTTACATGATGCAAATGTTTTAATACAATTAGTGAACATACGTGTGTATTCTTTTAAGAATATATTTATTTGTTTTACCTATTTTGTCTTAGAAAAAATATATTATAATAAAATGATTACTGACAGCGAAATAAGCACAACAAATATTAAAAACGTTTCAAAATATATTGCAGTGTGTTGAAATTCATAAATTCTTGGAAATAATAAAGATGTTATTTCTTAAAACACACCGCTGACACTCATCAATCTCTTGTAATCAATCTTGAAGGGTTAATATGCATTTTGCATGTAATACAATATCCGTAAAACAAGCAAACCCAATCCTCCAGCTCCCCCTAGCTCCCATCTATCACCTTAGCTAACCTTGTCTAACCTTAGCCTTCACCTATCGACCAGCTTTTTGTGACTGCGCCATGTCTTAGTGGTTTCTATTCCCATTCACCGAACTAATAACTCCTAATGGGTATTGTTATGGCAACGCCAAATGACAAACGCAACATCCACTTCAAACCCAAGTTGGCCTGGCACCTCCTTTGGAGACTCCTTTAAGACACCTAAAAAAATCTACAATCGTATTTAACTATTTTAGAAATTTATATATTGTAAGTGTTTTGGAATTAATTTTTGCAGGGAAATTCCACTTATATATGTATATTTCTTCATATTGGATTTCAAAACTTGTAAAATTTAGTATATGTCAATTTATATTGGAACATGGAAAAGTTAGGACATTAAGACTTTAATAGTGTGAATTTTTCAACTTAAGAAATTTTCCCTCTATTTAGTTTAAACATTTTTCCACAGTGTGGGTGTCATCTGGCAATTTCGGGCAGTGCAATCGATGTCCTCTTGGCAGGAATATCTGCGAATGAGAATAACAATCGTGGCTGTGCTAGTCACACAACTAGAGGCAGAGCCATAAATATTGTATAAATCAAAGACACACATTATATAGTCTTCAAGAGCCATGCCATGCCCTGACATTTATGGAAACAAATGACTTTTTGTCACAGTTCCCAATTGGGGGGCGCCGGGTGGGTGTCCAGAACGCAAGGCCGAAGGACAGACACAAAAACTTTTTGCGTTTTAATTGTTGTTTGCAAAATGACTTGTGGCCCAAGGAAAATTTGCAGGGTGTTTACTGTCTATAGAAATGCACATAAATTTGTTGTGCGACTGGGAAAGCGGAGGGACCAGCACCAGCGACCAAGCAGTAGTACAGGCACCCAGTGACACCCACGCATCCCATCCAAGTATTCCCATACACAGAGCGAAATAATGTTGCAATTTCTTTTCTCATCGCACTTAAAAGTAAACTGATTTGAACTGATTATATCTTATATTTAAGTTGGGAGTATTGCTTTACTTTTTGAAAACTACGCTTTTATGTTGCCTTATTTTGTTAGAAACATTTAAATTTATATAGTGCATTGCCCCGACCATGTAATTACTTTCTTTTGTCACCTTGTCTACATGTAAAGGCAATGATTCTGATGAAAATATCATATAATATAAGCAGAATACTGTGAATCTAGAATTATTTTGTTACCTAATATATTTCCAATGGATTTATAATTTCTTCAAGTTCTAAAGATTAAGACTGGGGTGCTACAGAAATAAACTTCTAAATTCGTTACCTTTTTGATTTAAGTGTTTAAAAAACCATTTCAATTTCCGTGACACTATATTTTGCTATCTAGTTATTTCAGTGCCTTAGTTCCGAACCAGAACTAGAAACAAAACCAGAACCATCCAGACATGGACGGATGGAGGAGCAGTGGTCGGTCGACCCATTGGTCGTTCACTCCGTTCCCTCGAACCATTAAAATGGCCTCAGCTGCTGGGTCCTCGGGGAGGGTATTCCCCGTTCTACCGCCAGTTGGTTGGTCGGTTCGATTCTGTGTTTGCCCCGTTTAAATATTTAGACAGAGCGCTGCTCGAAAACGCATTGAATGGCGTTGTCTGTCGACTGCTGCTGCTGCTGTGAATCATTATATATGTGCAGGGGCGTCGGGGGAGGGGATAAATTGATAATATAAACAAGTGAAGCGAGAAATTGAGGAGAGGGTCGATGTGTGTGTGTGTGTGTCCGGGCGAGCGGGTTGCTCCCACCGATTTATGATAATATTTATGCTTTGGGAAAGTCGGAAAATCCGCGATGTGGGTCGTGAGAAGCCAGAGCAGAGCGGGGCGGGTAGGAAGTAATACCATTCCGGGATTCCCCATAAACTTTAAAATTCGATTGAAGTGAATTTTAAACAATAGCTTGCATCTAATTTAAATGTGGGTGTATTTAACTCTACAGAGCGAATCCGAATCGAATGCCATTTATATAGTCTCTAGGAATTTGTGGGGGATTTAAGTATAATCGTGGGATTGTTTAGAAAGTATAAGGAATTATAGAGGAAAAATTTCCAAAAACATTTGCTTAGGTAACTACAAAAAAGCCAAAAAAAAAGAACTTTGACCGGAAATGCTTTATTTAGTAGTGTCTAATTTAACTTAATCACGCTTTAAATTGACAAAATGGATTCTGATTATGTTTAATTTGTTGGCATTCCCAACCGATATCACAGTGGCTACGAGAGCTAGAGCTAGGGCATAACACAATTTTTATCTTAAATTATGAAACATTTGTCATGACTTAAGCTCTGCAAAATGTGTGTCAAACTTTCTCCTGAAACAGCGCTTCTCTGAGTGCTTTGTGTGCGAGTCTGAAATACTTTTCCCCAAATTAGAGCACTTTCCTTCCACAGCTTGTGCTTAAGCTTTTAGCAACTTTTCTTCCGTCTTGCAGTGCTGCACATCAACCCCACTGGAGGCCAGAGGAATCTTTTCATATCCCTGAAGTGAAGCAAAAGCAGCAACAGCAACAGCAACAGCAACAGCAACAGCAACAGCAACAGCAAAAGCAAAAGCAAAAATGACAGCAATAAGTTTAAGCAATAAAACACTGCTAGCCGGACGTTGCAGAAATGCATTCGGAACACAATAAGGAAAGGCAGCCGGCAAGAGCTTTAAAATAGAGGAGAGCTCGACACAGAGGCTCCTCCTTCGGCGAGAAATCCCAAAGGCCCCTCTTCCTCCCCCCATCAACTGCCAAATAATATATAGGAAGCCAGCCAGCGGCAACGGACGCAGCCAAGGAGCCGAGAAAGGAGCCACCACGAGAGTTGACCGGGACACTGAAACATTCCACCCCATAGCATGGCCTCGGTCGCCGCTTGGCTGCCCTTCGCCCGGGCGGCGGCCATCGGGTGGGTGCCGATCGCCACCCATCCACTGCCACCGCCGCCGATGCCCAAGGACCGCCGCAAAACGGACGACGAGAAGCTCCTGATCAACGTGTCCGGTCGTCGCTTCGAGACGTGGCGGAATACCTTGGAGAAATATCCAGACACTCTTTTAGGTGCGAAATAATCAAAAGTATTTAATGTTAAATATTACAAAGAACACTACCCCGTTTCTAGGTTCCAACGAAAAAGAATTCTTTTACGATGAGGACTGCAAAGAGTACTTCTTCGACCGGGACCCGGACATCTTCCGGCACATACTCAACTACTATCGGACCGGCAAGCTGCATTATCCAAAGCACGAATGCCTCACCAGCTACGACGAGGAGTTGGCCTTCTTTGGCATTATGCCGGATGTTATCGGGGACTGCTGTTACGAGGACTATCGGGACCGGAAGCGGGAGAATGCGGAGCGTCTGATGGACGACAAGCTGTCGGAGAATGGGGATCAGAACCTGCAGCAGTTGACCAACATTAGGCAGAAGATGTGGCGGGCCTTTGAGAACCCGCACACGTCCACCAGTGCCCTGGTGTTCTACTACGTCACGGGCTTCTTCATCGCCGTCTCTGTGATGGCCAACGTGGTGGAAACGGTGCCATGTGGCCACCGGCCGGGCAGAGCGGGAACTCTGCCCTGCGGAGAGCGCTACAAGATCGTTTTCTTCTGCCTGGACACCGCCTGCGTGATGATCTTCACGGCGGAGTACCTGCTCCGCCTCTTCGCCGCCCCCGATCGGTGCAAGTTCATGCGCTCCGTGATGAGCATCATCGATGTGGTGGCCATCATGCCGTACTACATCGGACTGGGAATCACCGACAACGACGACGTGAGCGGAGCCTTTGTCACGCTTCGAGTGTTCCGCGTCTTCCGCATCTTTAAGTTTTCGCGCCACTCGCAAGGACTGCGGATCCTTGGCTACACGCTCAAGTCCTGCGCCAGCGAGTTGGGATTCCTCGTCTTCTCCCTGGCCATGGCCATTATCATCTTTGCCACCGTCATGTTCTACGCGGAGAAGAACGTCAATGGCACCAACTTCACATCGATTCCGGCGGCCTTCTGGTACACAATCGTCACTATGACGACGCTGGGGTAAGACTGTTTTTAGTCCATTGATTATGCTTAAAAAATATGAATAAAATAAGTAAATATAAGTAAAGTTTTTATATAATTAATTAACTTTAATACCTATACTGCTTTCTTTCACTCGTTGCAGATATGGAGACATGGTGCCGGAGACAATAGCTGGCAAAATTGTGGGCGGCGTGTGCTCACTCAGCGGTGTGCTGGTCATCGCCTTACCTGTACCTGTTATCGTATCGAACTTTAGTAGAATCTATCACCAGAACCAGCGAGCAGACAAGCGCAAGGCGCAGAGGGTAAGTCACTGACTCAGTTCTAAATTAATACATACATTAATCGAGAAAAAGAGCCCTTCATTACATATACAAATGTAAATCCACTTTTCTGAAATATTTAAATTTTAAATTTTAAAACAGTATCACTTAAGTATTGATTTCAATGCAAAATATCCTTCTATTGTAATTTAACACATTTATTTGTCTGTTATTATATCTCATTAGCATATCTAAAGTATTGTAAACATTAATATATATAACAATTTTAAATATAGAGACATTATCGATTAAATATCGATATAATTTAACATATACTTTAAATGTTAATTCATTTACTTATTTGTATATTTTTCCGATTATGTTAGTCCAATATTTCAGAGTATTGCACATTTATTTGTTTCAATATTGTTAAAATATCGATTATGTAATGCATTTTTTCAAAAATATCCATAAAGTATCGATACTTTATGTTATTTTTATTCAGTGTCTGTAAATTTTCTTGTTGTTTTGTGAACAGTTTAAAATAGTTAACATTCAATATGAAACTAATCATTTGACTTACAACTTTTCGTGATCGATTCAGGATATTGTCAGTTTCCTTTATTTTATAAAAACCAATACAAATATTAATTTATTTTGTATGTTTCACAAGACTTAGAAGAAACAAAATTTTCCCTGTGAAAACTCACACTGCCACCTTCCACTTTAACTGATTATTTCCATGTCCTTGCAGAAAGCTCGCCTGGCGCGCATCCGCATTGCCAAGGCCTCGTCCGGAGCCGCCTTTGTCAGCAAGAAGAAGGCCGCCGAGGCACGGTGGGCCGCCCAGGAGTCTGGCATCGAGTTGGATGACAATTATCGGGACGAGGACATCTTCGAGCTGCAGCATCATCACTTGCTGCGGTGTCTGGAGAAGACAACGGTGCGTATACGCGATGTGTGCACTTCGCTCTCGCTCTCTCGCTCTATCTATTTCTCTTGCTCTCCACACAAACATGCATATATGTAGATATATATGTATATACATATTTACATACACATGTGATATAAATACTACAATTGTCAATCGACTGTGCGCTCAGTGTTTGAATTATAATTTTATGTTTTCTTTTGATTTACCTATCACACTCTTTCTCTATACATTTTTCGTTCTTTTCCGTGTATACAGATGTAGCAACATTTGAACATCTCAGTTATAGTCAGAAATTGTAAGGTTTGCCACAAGCTCGTTAGGCAAGCAATGACAACAGCCACAACAACCATGGCAACACTAGCAACAATAGCAACATCAGCGGCTAAGAGAGCAACAATGGCGGCGACGGCAATAAACGTTAAATGAGCAGCGGAAGGATTTGTTGTTAAGCATTTTGAAAACTATCGCGTCTTCCCATTGATCATAATCAAATTAAAAAAAAAAATCCAACCGAAAATCGTTAAAACGCCAGAAGAGTAAACGATTAAAATTGAAACTGAACGAATATATTCAGCATCTTTTGTATGTGCATTTTTTTGTGTTTACAAATTTTAGTTTTCGTGTTTCTCATTTTCATTTCGATCTGTTTTCTGTTCATTATTGTCTTCGGTATCTGTATCTGTGTATGTCGGATCGGTTGTGTTACGTCCTAAGTTGTATGTTCTAAGTTCAACATTTGTGCCATGTTTTTCACACGATCTGGTATCGGTTCTGGGAGCTGAACTGGCTTTAAAATCAACCAAATATAAAACATACTAAACAAATAAAATATCAATGTCTATACTCTGATAAACGAATATAAATTCGCCAAAGTAAGTGCTTTCGGTTTGTATTTGAGTTTCGTTTTTTCTTCAATCTCTCTCTATCCCTTTCTCTCTCTCTATATATAACTTTCTATCTATCTATCTCGTTCATGTTTACGCGTTGCAATTAGTTTTTATGATTTCCAATTTCAAATTTTTAATTTTTTCTCTGTTGATTGTCGGTTGTTTTTCCGTTCATTCTCGACCCCTTTGTTGAAAGAAAACGATTCGTGTTGAATGCTATGCGCTCCGTTCTGTTTTAAGTTCCTCGAATACATAGGTCATCGCCGAACAGTATCGGTTCGAACGATATGAGAATGCTCCCCACATGCCATCAAGATTTTCGAAGCGTCCATTTAGCCATATGCAATCGATTGCTGTCAACATAAAACCCAAAAACGAAAACAAAATCTAACAATATCAAAATCTAAACAATTTTAATCGTCGATGGGGCTCATCAAGTGCTGCGAAACGAACACTTAAGCGGATATGAAAATCCCATTAGGCCGCGCTACTTATGCCTTTTTAATTTATGGGGAGTAAATTCCAATGCTTTAATGGTACATATTTTTTGAGAAAAGTCATATAAAAAGTAATTATATTTAACAATTTTCTAATTAATTAAAAATAGTTCTGGCTATGTGAGGGGTGTCTTTAATGTGTTTTTAATAGTACAAAACAATATTTAAGAAGCAACTTGGGGTAGAAATGCCAGATAGCTTCTTCATTTTGTAAAGTTTAACTATCCAGTTTTCTTAGGGGAGTAGGCTCCATTTTAGTTGATTTAGAATTGGTTATATATTTAAGTGTAAAGATTTTAATTTGCTTAATTAATCACAAATCAAGTTATAAATAAATATTTATTTAATATAAATGTGTTTCAAGAATTGATTCAGTAGGATTTAAATACTATTTAAGCTGAAGTTTAGTAATTCACTTTAACAATCGAAAAGTTCAATAAGAATTATAAATATAAATTTGATAACGAAACAAAAAGAAACCCTATTTTAAATTAATTATGAAGGTTTTAGATACTATTAGGACTTATATTTCCTATATCGTTTAATATTATTTCTTTACGAAGGATTTCCCTTTTATGTGTTCTAGTCGTAGTAATAAATCAGGCAACTTGATGGGCCCTTAAAATCTCCACTTAAAACCACAAATCAATAAAATAACGATATGCCATAAATCGGGAATCATTTTTAGCGGCTATAAACGCGACCGCGTTTTAAACCGCTCGCTGTCGAAGTACAAAAATCGCACTCGAATGTCGCTCGCTGGCGCTTGCTTACCACCGACCCCCGACCCACCGACCCTCCGCCCCTCCGCATTTATAGCTCTCTCGTCCTGCTAAGTGATCAACCGCCCGCCCGCTGACCGCCACCTGGCCCACTCCTCCCTCTGGCTGTATAAATAAATAAATTGTTCTCATAGTGTTTTTGTAAAATTGTCATTGCTTAGGAGCCGCAAAAAAATAAAACAAAACATAAAGAAACCCGTAGAGCTGGCTAAACATTGATGGCTTGATTCAATTTAAATTCAAAATTATTGAAAATATTGAATATCCTTAGACTTGATATGGAATCAGACAACAAGAGAGCTCTTCTCTCGATGGTTTGCCAGTTCTATAAACCCAAGAATTTCCATTTGATTACTTTAAGCGTTGAAATATTTAAAACTTAACCCTCCCCACCCTCCTCCCTTAGAGCAGCTTAATGTTTTAACTGTTGTGTTAACTCGAAAGAGCCACCAACTCCAGCTCTTTCCTCTTCTCTCTCGCTCTGAGTATTTGTTTATGCGTATGTATTCACCCCTTCCTGTTATCCCAATGTCCTGTGTTTTTTGTGTGTGTATTTCCCCAGTCCCCTCCCCGATTTCTATATTGTAAAATTGTTGATAAAAAAGAAAAACAAAAAAACCAAAAACATTGTACTCTATGTATTCTTCGTTTCTCTTTGTAAAATTCTTCTCTGGCTGTACACACCTCTCAATGCTCAAAAAACCGACCGCAGGATCGAGAATTTGTCGAGTTAGAAATTCCGTATAACGGTCAGCCCAAGCGGCCGGGCTCTCCGTCGCCGATGGCCAGTCCCGCCCACTCGACAAACAGTGCCGCCGGCCTGCTGCAGTCCTGCTGCGGCCGCTGCTGCTCCCAGCGCTACCAGGTAAGCTATATCATACACGCATACCCTGTACACGAAGCAGAGCTGCACACACAGTGCAGTGCGCCCGCGGCACGAACCCCCCTTGGCACGAACCTAGCCTCGGCTCGAACCTCGGACCACGGACACTGTGTGAGGCAGCTCTGACATAGAGCACGAGTACGACCCCTGACCCCGAGAGTGCAACTGAGAGCCATTGTCCGGCACTCGAGGGGTTGAGTGCGTCTGCAGGTGGGTCCACAACCGCTTTCCGTACCCCTCTCTCCTCTATCTCTTTTTATTTCTGACTGTGCCCTCTATATGTACTATAGTTTTGTGTGTGTTGGTTGACTTATCTGGTTGAACTAGTATTTTTTGTACACTCACCGCCACCCACCTCACCCGCAGAACTACAAAGGCGACCTTGAGTCGGAGGCTCAAAAGACATCACGGGCAGGCTAAAAAGCATCTTTGTGGGCTCAAACATATTTCGGTTGCCATTAAAATCACCTTTACGTAACCAAAAGATGGAAATGTAATATTTGTAAATTGTTCATAGCCAAAAAGTGGGCACATTCACAAGTAATCTGCACTTCAATTATTGTTAGCACTTTGAGTGTATTTACAAAAGGATGTATTAACATCTGTACTACTCAGAAGCGACTTCTGTGAGCTAAATTATAGTTAAATATACAATTATTCATAAAATGTAATTAAAATTATTCAATTTAATTAAAATCCTTATTAAGGAATCGGAATAAACTTGCACTTCAATTACATTTACTACTTGTACATTATTTGCCTAAAATATCTTTTTTGGGGCTATTCATTAGTAGGTTTTAATGTTCATTCAAAACTAGAGTTTTCTCAATTGAAAATTGTATATTAAAATCGAATTTTCTTTGCAACTATATTATCTAAACACTAACCTTTTCGAGTGTGTTACAACTTGCATTCCTTTAAATTTGTTTTTAATAATAAAACTCCAAAAGGTATGCTACATTTTTTAGGTAAAATTGTTAAATGTAAAAAATTTGTAAAAAATACTATTTTACATGTGAACTAGGGAATTTAAAATCTTAAAGATAAATAAATTAATTATAGTATAAATAATTAGGTTTCCTTTGATGACAACAACTTAATCATTTAATTAAATGCCTATTAGACACTAGAGAAGAGATAAATACCAATACAAAATACCAACCAAATAAAAACCAAGTTTAATACAGAATGGCTAAAGTAATGCACTTATTATCGTTTTTGTATTACATTGAGCTCAATAAGTAAACTTTACTAGAAATGTTTCGTTACCTTAACTTATTTAAAAAGTGCAAGGCTCAAAATTAGGTTCTTCACTAGCTAAATCATTTTACAAATTCCTCAAAATGAGGTTTTTATACAATAAATATAAACTTAAAAGATATTTGTATTACAACTTTTAAACGACCAAACCAAAGTCTGCCTGAAAATCTATACCAATTCTGTTTCTGTCCAAATGGAAGCTTCTGTTTTTGGTTTTTAGCATATCATACTCTGCGTTCGCGATGTTCATTAATCATTCGTAAAAGCCCTAATGCATTCTCTGCTCCATTCTCGTTCTGTTTAGGCCTGCGGCAAGTACATGCCGGCTGCCAGCAATGCTCAAAATAGCCAAAACAATCAGCCCATGGATGGCACCTACCTGGTGGAGGCCTCGTTCTGAGCCGGCAGCAGGTCCGCAGCCGCAGCCACATCCACATCCACATCCACATCGACATCCGCATCCTTGGCCAAGGAGGCGCACGCGGCCACATCCCACGCCAGATCGAGATGATTTATGTTTACGTTTAGACTAACTTGAAAAGTTTTTAAACTAAATTGAATTCGTTTGTAGAAATCGTCGTGTGTCTGTAGTCGCCAAAGAGAAAAGGGGAAGCCCGAAAACTAAAACCAAAATATGTACCAGTGTAATCTCTAAAATCTGATTTCGAGTTCAAAGAAGACGATATTTAATTAAAGTTAAACAATTGCAAGCGTCTCTGGATGTGTACGATGTATAAAGCACATTTAAAACGAAGACAGTAACAAATTGAATGAAAGAAATAAAAGTGCCGAACCCAGATTCTGTGGCGGCCAAGTCGGATTTGATTAGCGAGGACCCGTTAATGAAAAAAGCAAAAACAAAAGGAAGCAAGTAATAATTATAATAATATGCAACACTATTTACTTTATTTAGGGACAAGACAACAACAGCAAACAACCGAAACCGAAGCATTTTAGAGGAATTTACTGTATATGTTTTAACAAAGTGAACATAAAGTAGAATAGAAGGCAAACAGTTTGAAAAGTTCTACCCAAAGAAAGATCCTAGGGATATATATATATGTATACCTATAACCGAAGAAGGTCGAGGGAAACTCAAGCAAGTTGCATTGGGTCCAAGAAACCGACAGGCATAGAACAAAAACCGAACACAATAATGAAATTTTAACTGCAGGCACTCTGGCCAGGAATCAAGAAAGCAAACGATTAGGAATGAAAAGATTATGAGAAATATTATTATGAATTCGTGTATTTTTTAAATGGTCCGTAGTTTAGTAGGTATGAACTTCATCGACTTTCCCCCTCTATGGTTTCTCATCGGCAGAGATCTCTCAGCGTTTCGGCATTTCCACAGTTGACTAAATAGCAAAGAGGTTTCAGTTCGTCATTCACCGCTCGCCCCCCTCTGGAATATGTACTCCCAACATGAACTAATCAAAATCTATCGAATGAATCAAGAATTACAACTTTCTTCCAAGAACTAAGTTAGCAAGGAACTATTTAAATGTATATGTGTGTGTAGGAAAGGCTTTAAAGAATTGGAGCATTAACTAACTAAATGAACTCTTAGCAAATTCTAACAGAAACTTAAAGTATATTAATTAATTCTAAATTAAAAACAAAAAACAACATTTAAAATTAGTTCAAGTAAACACTTAAAAATCAACATAAATATGGAGCTTGTATGTATGATAAATTTATTATGATTACTCTAATTACATATTATGACGATGATGAGCGCGATGTCGACACTTGTTTCTAATTCTCTAAGTTGCCTCTTAATTTCTAAAGGAAAAAATTAAAATCAAACAAGCAAATGAACAAAATTCTCAAACTTTTGTTAAGCGAAAAACGAAGAAGTTGTGAGTAAACACACAACAAACAAAGTTTATGATTAGAACGAAACGATTTACAAAAACAACATCAAGAAGACAAACAACAATTTGGTAATTAATACCAACTCTCGTAGCGATATTCTAAAAGAAAACCAATCTATCAAGGAAAAATGGCGATAGTCTAAACCAATATCCGAAGGAGGAAGGGACTACATTTCTGTTTTGATTTTTAGTGATATGTAATTCGAATTGATTAACAGCAAAAACGAATACTCTGCCACGAGTCTCTGAGAATGAAAAAGCTAAAGATTATATGAATAAAATAAAGAAATCTGTTTACTTCCACCAAATCGAAAATATATATGTTCAACGCACACCCTAGGTTTGATCCGAGTGGGAAAGTATATTCTCTCTTATCGATATTTTCTGGGATAAGTCTTTCTGAATAATTTATTTCAGCTCACAAACT